GACTGATGTGTTAGCCATTACACCACGCCGCCTACTGCTCAGCCTTAGGAAATTAATAGCTATATGCTTTACAGAAGTAACTTAACCCTTGAATTTATTGTACCGGCCCTGGAGGGTGCCATTCTAATAGAGGGAAATACGGTAGTTAAAATTCTAAAAAATTGTAAAAAAATTAATAAAATTATAGCACACCTTTAACTCTGTCGAAAATTTTGATATAAAAGCGGTTTTTGCTTCTCCTACTTCACCGACAACTCTACAGTCAACGCAACACTCACGCTCCGTGCGGCTGTTCTTCCCTGCCTTGTCCCAGAACTCGACTGGCCTTGGCGTTTCACCGACAACTCTACAGTCAACGCAACACTCACGCTCCGTGCGGCTGTTCTTCACTGCCTAGTCCCAGAACTCGACTGGCCTTGGCGCTCTCTTCACTACATAGTCAATACACCTAAACGCTTCCTGCTGCTGTTCTTCAGGACTTTCCAAGTAAGATTACTTTTTAATTTGTCATATTGTAGCGCGTTTTTTAAACTATTTTTTTTAGTGACAGAGCGACCAACTTCTTGGGCCTACCCTCCAAAACTCTACTTGACACGTGAAGAGTGGAATGTGCGACTTCAGAAGATCAACGATCCGTTCGGCAAGAGTGTATGGCGCTACTTCAAGGAGCTGCCTCCGGTCACCGTCGGGTACAATCGAAACCAGCCAATAATAGATACTTCGGTTCTATACCGATGCAAGTATGGATACTCTTCTTTATAAACTTTGAAAAATTCTCAAAATTCAGGTATCCACGGTGTGTGGCTAAAGCTAAAACGACGGAACAGACCTGTTGTGACCAATTCATCAGTGGCGAGCTCTTTGCTTCGGTGGAGAAGCATTCGATGCACATAGAACGCACGTGTTCCCAATCAAGTGACTTCTTCGACGGCGTTGAAGGTCATTAAATCTTTATTAAATTCAAAATACAATTTGATTTTTTTTTAATTCAGGTGTATAGTCTCAACAAAGCTGAGGGAATGACTAAAAAGCTGAGGGAATGACTAAAAACTGAGGGACAAAATAAAAAGCTGAGGGAATGAAGAAATTAGATGTAAATAAATAATTTTTCGTTCACTCTGTTTTTTTTGTATATTTTTTTGTGTTCACCTCTCATATGTTGTTGATTTGTAATGAGTAAATAAAAAAATTTTTTTTTGAGAACTTTTTCTTCACTTAAGTTAGGAAAAAATAATCAGTTTTAAGAATAGGAATCGAAAAATGAACGAAGACAAAAATTAATTTTATCAAAAATCCCTTCTCCTAGAAAAAAATCTTTTCCCTTCTTCTAGAAAAAAATCTTAAAGATTCTCTTTTATACTTTCAATTATACCCTCCATAATTCAATTTATAAATTAATTTTAATTGTGTGTTTTTTGTCGCACAGCTACTGCTTTTATAGCAGAATGATTTGAGGGGTGAGAAAAGAGAGCTTTTATAGTAAGCTTTAAATTTTTGAGAAAATTTTGAAAAAATCCCCTTTAACTGTTTTGAGGAAAGCGAATAAGCTTTTATAGAAGCTTTTATAGTAAAGCCGTGAGGGTCATTGTTCTAAAATCCCGATCCCGATTTTATTTCGATATCCCGATACCGTTGAACTCTAATTTATTGTTTGATTATTTGTTGCTATTTTATACCACGTAAAATTCTTTTTTTTTAATTCTCGTTTTTGCGTGAATAACAGAAGATTTGTTTTGTGTGTGGCAGACTGATCAACCAAAAAGCAGGAAATTTGGCGAATATCCTTTTGATTTCCTGTATTTTTTAACGATTAAAGAAGCTTGATTGGAAAGTTATTTTTTTATTCGCTTTTAGATCTCTATATAAAATACCCCCATTTTAAGCGACATTTTTTAAAATTTATTTGGCAAATGGATAGGGGCAGTTTAAGAGCCTTTGTATAAAATACATCTCATTATAAGGCAAACTTCAGTATGAGATACCTCCATTATTAGATAGACCTCTATTTAAGAGACACTTTTAAATTATATCCCCTATTTAAATTCGTCACATCATAATAAACTCTTTCTTAAAAATTCGATTCTTTCTCTAATTTATTCAAGCCTCCCTAATTTAAATTGAGTTGAATGTTGTTGTGTAGTGGTGACACTACTATAAAAGCCACTGTAAGTGTCAGTCTAATTGGATCATACTAGCCCGGCTAGTCCCTGATCTCCTTCGTCTGTTCCAACCTCAATCCCTTCGCCTACATTGTTATTTCTCTTTGGATAAACTGTTAATCATTGCACGTCGACTTTCGTACAACCCTCGGACATAACAAGTGGCGCTGTTCCTGCTCGTCTACAGAACGTCTACTGGAGCGTCAACGAAACGACAACAGCTACAGTGGAGACGAGTATTGAAAGAATAGTGGACGAAGTAGAATAATTGCGTGACGCAATTATTGAAAATTATTGTTTTGAATTGTGAGTGGACAGGCCTAGCGATTTTTAAATCTATAACTCTCATTTTAATATACCCCCAATTTAAGTTACATCGACATTATAAAGTACGATTTTTCCAACCTTAAGGGTTCATGTTCTAAAATATTTATTTAAAAAAAACTCCAAAATCCTCCTAAAAAAGGAACAATAAAAGAACAACAACAACAACTCTAATTAAAAAAGGAAAAGTAAAAAGAATAGCTAAAAGTCAGGATTTAATGAATCGAATAGAGAAGGAGGGTCAACAGCGTGAGCTTAGAAAAGTTAAATTGATGTTTTTACTAATTTTTTGTTTTTATTCCATTTCTCGTAAATAACGAGTTATTTATTTAATTAAAAAAGGAAAAGAGAACTTTAAAGAAAATAATAACCCTAAAGCTTGTTAAAGCTAATTTATATTTATTTTTTCTTTTTCCTTTTATGGATTATTTTTTAAATTTATTTGTTAAAAATTATTTAATTATTGAAAATTTAAAAATTTGCGGAAATTCTTCTTGAGGATATTGATGTTTTTTCTGACTTTTTCTTTGAATTTTGTAATATTTTCTAATTAAATTGAACCTCGTTTTAGATACCTCCACAAGGGGTGAGCGCATTGAGTTTGCGTTTTTTACGTTTTGCGCTGCTTTTTGGCCTCTTGCACACTCTCTCTTTTTTTAACACGGAAAGAGCTCTTGCTCTCACCCCTGACCCCCACCTCCCAAAAATTTTTTTTTAATTTTTGTGAGATTTTGAATTTTTATTAACATGGAAATTTCCGACGCAAAAAGATTAAAATGGATTATTTTTTAAATACAGAAGTAATGCTTTTAAGCTTTCGGATTTTTGAACCCAAATAAATTTTTATTTACAGAAGAGAATTATTTTTAAGATTATTTCCATTAATTAATTAAAAAAATTATTTATTTTTTTATTTAATCTTTAATAAAAATCTTTTTATTATTTTTTAGATTAAATAATTTTTTTTTATTGAAAACAAAAGCACACTCTCCCTTTTTTTTAACACGGAAAGAGCGAAAGTATTTTTTATTTAAAATGGAATAATTCAAAAATCCACTAATTCTCTATTGTGTGAAAAAAGGGAAAATACCTCATTTTTAGATACCTAAATTAAATAATTTTTTTTTTAATATTTAAAAATTAATGCAGTCAACTTCGTTATACCGTATTTACTCGATTAATTCCCCCGAGGAATTATTTTTTCAACCCATCCGTGGCATGGGGAATTAATAGAGGGTGGGGAATTATTCGAGTTTTGAAATTTGAACGTGTATTAGGGTATTTGGGGGTGGGGAATTATTTTTTCAACTCATCCCTGGCATGGGGAATTAATAGGGGGTGGGGAATTATTCGAGGGTGGGGAATTAATCGAGTAAATACGGTAAGTTACACCCGTAGGGACTGAAAAAATCGTAATTTATTATGAGTTATATGTTAAATTGGAGGTGAAAAACTCGATACACCTCTATTAAAGGATGCCTTTTAAAATAAGGTCACCTCTATTTTAGATATAGGTGACATTTTAGATATATCACCTCTATTTTAGATATACCTTCATTATAATGTACAACCAGTACTAGATACACTTCAATTTAAGATACGCTCTTCGATATTGGGTTGGTCACACATTCTGTGACCTAGGAGTTCCTAAAGTTCCTAAAGAGTTCCCTGAACTTTATCCTCTTTTTAATAAGTACCTCATTATAAGGTACCTCAATTTTTACCCCAAGATGTATTTAAAAATGAGGTTTGATGAATGGCGACGATGGACGAGAAACTCGCGAAATTTTTTTTTATTTTTTCTAATTTTACTGTAATTTTAAATTTCTAGATGATAATATTTAAATCTTCCCTTAATTTCAACAAATTTCTATTCTTCCTTTTAATTTATTTTTTATTCCCCCTTGTACAAGGCAACGGTTATTCTGGTTATGGAGGTCAAAATAATGACTTGACATCATTAAACGACTCACTACTAGACAATAATTCCTCAAAGCTACATTCAGCCAAAAAAATTCCCTTACCGCCTTTAGCGCCCCCAAGAGTTCCTTTATTCTCTTCTGAGTTGAAGGAAGATTCTACAAATAATGTGGGGAATGATGGGGCGATTATTGGCACAGGAAGTGGAAATAGCAATTCGGTCAGTTATAGGCCTGTACCTCCACCTGTCAGACGAGATGTTAGAAGTGAAGGAAGATGCAGTTTTGGTGGGGAATTAAATACAGTCAGTCTTCACTGTAGGATACACCTTTTAAGGCCATAACTTATTTGATTCTTAACCGATTTACATAAATGTTATATCAATCGAAAGCTCTGAATGTGTGTATTATTAGAGCTAGCAAGATTGATTTGATCGGATCAGACTACAAAAAGTTAAGCCTAATAAATATCGCCTGATTTTTAATTAAATGTGTATTTTATAGAGAAGTCTGACTGTATTAAAATTTAGATCCTTAAGTATCTAATTATTAAGACCTATAAGTTAATAATATTTATAAGTTAATTATTAAGACCCAACACAATGGCAAATGCAAGCTCAATCAGCTGCTGCTAATGCTGTAATGTTCGATCGGTCCAGTGGTGTTAGTTGTGATGAATGTTTAGAAAGATGTAGCAAACACTTTCAAGTAATTAAAATTGGCACTGTTGAAGATAAAAAACACTTTTAAAAAAATTCCGCAAAAATTTAGTCCGCAAAAATGTTGCGGACTTTTTTAGAATATCTTCAATTTGCTTTATTTAAAAATACAATTGTTTTAATAAATCATTGCAAAGAACCATTCATCTGAGTGGATTTGCCGTTCTTTAACTTATGATCATCGATGGAAAATTTGTGATTTATTCGCAGTAAATGGTGGCGATTCTCCTTATAATTTATTAGATTTTGAAGGACGCGATTATTTTCAGTTAAATTTTAATTTATTAATTACAGTCAGCCTCGCTATAAGAAACATCCTTAAGGCTGAAAAAAGTCTCTTATAATGAGCGTACTTTAAAAAGAGGGTATTGTCCCTTACAGTCTCTTATAATGAGCATATCTTAAATAGAGGGTAAATATAGGGTCTCTTATGATGGGTGTACCTTAGATGGTTGGTCTCTTGTAATGAGTGTTCCTTAAATAGAGGGTAAGCCACTTTTAAATACCTCATTATACTGCAAGTTTTATTTAGTCCCAAGGGTGTCTCTTATAATGAGCTCTGACTCTATTTAATACAAATATATTTAGATATATGCCAGCACTTCCTCCAACAGACAGTGAAATGTTGGGGCTTAAACAGAACGAAATTTTGGAACATTTTAATACGAACAACGAAAAACAATGTAGCTGTCCATGCAAAGCTTTAAGTGAATTAACTGCACAAAGAAATATTCCTTTAAATCTAACCGGGTCAGAAAACGGAGAAAAAGTGATTGGTGACTCAACTTTGGAAGTTAAACCAATCCCTGTTAATAATGCTTCTGCTTTAGAGAATGCTGCTGATCAATTGGTGAATTTTTTAAATAGTTGGACCTCATTATAAGATACCCTCAATATTAGATACCCCTCTATTTAAAAGACGTTTTTTAAAATTCGTTTTTGCATGGCTAGGGGAGAGCCCCTAAGCCCCTGTTTAAAGTGAAAAATAATATCTAGAAAAGTCCGCAAAAAAAGTCCGCAAATTTTTTTGCGGACAAAAAAGTCCGCAAAAAGTGTCCGCAAAATTTTTGCGGACATTTTATTTTAGATTTTTCTGCCCTGTATCTTATATTATAAGGAGGGCTGACTACATTTAAAAAATAAAAATAATTTTTTCTTCTAGTTTGGCACAAAGAATATTGAAATAGAAAAATCATTAGAAAACCAATCTACTAACTCAACAACATTATCTTCCCCATTACCAATAAATTCAGAACAAAATTTAAATGAATCTTCAATTAATTCTTTGGAAAATAATTTAATAATTAATTCTACCTTAATTCCCCCCTCAACTTCTTCAATTGAATCAATTCCTACAGAAATAACTTCAACAATTTCTCCTCCTTCTCAAAATTCTTCTGTAGAAGAACAATCACCTCCAATAGAGATTGGAAAGTCTTTTGGGTCAAAAACATATGAGGTATTTTAGTGAAATAAATTATGGCACTTGGGTAGAGTGAGAGAATTTTTTCGGACATTTCACGGACCAGAGAAAGTCTGCAATAAAAGTTCGCAATAAAAGTCCGTAAAAAGCCAGTGAAGAATATCCGCAAAAGAAGTCCGCAAAAGTTTGTCCGGCAAGACGGTTGTCCCCCCCCCTCCCTGCCTTATCCACACAAGTGCCTAATTTCAATATACCTACCAATATCCAATATTTATATTTTTAAAAAGCCTCAAAAAGACGTTCAACTAAACAAAAATGTGGACAAACCTCAACTAATTCAAAGACCCATAATAAAACAACAAAAAATAGCAACAAATAATGTCTGCCCAAAAATAGGACAAATAGCCTATTATGCTGAAATTGAAGGAAAAATACAAAGAAAAAACAATGGGAAAATAGAAAAAATAAATGATATAAAGAATTCGAGAGATTGTTTGGATATTTGTGATGGGCAAACAAAAACAAATTGGTAAATGATATTGTTTGACCTCCCCTCCTTTAAGAGACCCCCTCTTGGGTTGGAAAAATTGTATTTTATCGTGGGGTATTTATTAAATAGAGGATAGCGCTTGGACAGCTCTTCCTCCAAGTATTCAAGCAAATTTTAAGGGGCGTCTCTTAAATAGAGGTTTCTTTCTGTCTGTATCTTGTATAGAAAACCTCACTATAAAATACCCCACCCCCTCTTCAATATTAGATACAGCTCTCTTTAAGAAACGTTTTTTAAATATGGTTGGTCATTGGGTCGGGTAGCTGCCTAAGCAATATCCTCTATTTAAGACACACCCCATTATAAGCTACGACTTTTTAGCCCTAAAGGGGTATCTTATAAGGAGGTTTTTAAAATTTGTTATTTAGTAATTCTGCCCAATGGACAACAACAGAAGGCTGTGAATTATATAGCAATTTTTCTACACAAATTATATCTCCACAAAGTCTGTTGACCTTTTTACCGTCTACTGCAACAGAAAATGCCAAATATTATGAAAAAGTTTGTGTCAATAAAAATATACTGAAAGATGAAAGTAGACGAACATTTGTGGCTATACCCGGATATATTCTTGTTGGGTAAACAATTTTTGAATGAAAATATTTTTTAAATCGGCGTTCATTAGCCGGCCCTTAAATAAGATACATTTTTTGGGCTGAGAAAATAGTGGCTTATTAATAGTGAGGGGGTGAGAAAATACTCGTCTATTAAATAGAGGGTGTCACTTAAATAGCGAGTAACCCCTTGAGTACGAGAAAATAGTCTTATAATGAGGTGTCTATTAAATAGACGTATACCTGTCATAAGAGACTATTATCCTGGGGTATGGGGGTATCTAAAATAGATGTTCGACTATATTTAAAAAAATCTTTAAAAAAATATTTTTAGACATGTTCAAGAAGTCTCTAATGCTGGTTCATTATCAGAATGTTTAAAAGCCTGTTTGTCTGCTTCTGCTGATTATGGGTTTACTTGTAAATCCTTGATGTTTTACCCTTCAGATCAAGAACAGGTAGATGGAGAGAAATAAAAACCTCAATATAAAATACCCTCACTATAAGCTACACTCACTATAAGGTACCCTCAAATCTTCTAGTATAAGCTCACATTTTAACTCACCTCTATTTAACATATCTCCAATTTAAGATACACCTATTATAAGAGACTGTCTTTCATCCTCCATGGGGATGAAATCTTATAGTGAGGTTATCCTCTATATTTTTATGAAATTTTTTTATTTTTTAGAATTGCCTAATGAACTCAGAAAGTAGACATACTCAATCAGACGTTTTTGTTCCAGAAGAGCAAAATGTTGAATTTATGATTTATCTAGATTTAGACACTCCCCAACAAAAATTGCTTCCTTCAACAATAAATGAACAACGACGTTTTTACGACTCACCAATTAACGAAAAATTAGAAAATAAAACTTCTAAAGAAGAAGAAACTTGGACTCATTGGTCTAAATGCCTAAATTCTGAAACAGCTGCAGAAATGCGGCATCGTTATTTAAAGTGTAGAGAGTCGAAAGACATTAGGAAATGCCCGAAAGAGACGATTCCTTGCGGCAAAAAAAGTTTTTTTGAATTACAGTCGAAACCTCGAATTTATATACCTCCAATACAGGATACACTCAATATTAGGTACACTTCTATTTTAAATACCCTCATTATAAGATAACCTCTATTCAAAATACGCTCAATATAAGAGACCATGAGATACACTAATTATAAGATACCTAACCTCTATATAAGATACACCCAGTATTAGATACTCTCCATTTAACATACACCTCAATATAAGATACACCTCAATATAAGCTACGATCTCAGCCCCAAGAGTGTAAATAAATTCGAGGTTCACTTATATTTTTTTTAAATAAAATTAATTTTTAAAAGAACCAACAATAAAAATTCAAAAAATTTGGCATTCTGATAACAATACAAATCAACAAAAATTAAAATTGAACGAGAAAACCAATGCTTTTAGCAATATTTTGAGTGAATGCAGAGCTGTTAGGGATGCTTTGGGAAGAAAAAAGTGCCCTTATGGAATGAGGTTTTGAAGAGAATTTTTGCTTAAGAGGGTATTTTAAATAGGGATATCGCATGGTCACCTTCCCCACACCCATTGGTCACCCCGTCATCGAAAGTCGGGCAATTTGAGTTTTTTTAGAAATTCCCCAACCCGGCCCCCTTGACAAAAAAAAATTTTTCCCTGTCCCCGTGCCATCTTGATCAGGTCATGGTAAAAAATAAAAATTTTTTAAAATATTTTAAGATGGAATGGCTTGAAACGTGAAGCTTGTCAACCGCCTGTAGATTGTTGAAAAAAGATTTTAATTAAAATTAGTATAGGAATTAATTAAAGATATTTTCTATTTATTTTATTAAAAATGCCATAATTTTATTTTTATTTATTTTTATTATGTAAATATGTAATATAAATATAAAATTAATAAAAAAATATATACAAATATGAGCTTATAAATATAAAAAATATATAGCACATTAAATAATCAGAAAATAGCTCATCTTCAGCTCGGATTAGGCTGGTTTCAAGACTGGATCAGATATGGACCAGAACTTTTCTTTCGACAAAAACCCCGAATTTCTCATTGAAGTTTTTTCCAATAAGGAAAGAAATCTGGCTTCTTATCCTTCTAAAATTTTAGGAATTCAAAATTTAAACTTATTAACCCGATATCCTTAACCTGTATTTTATTCGCCCGAACCTCGATTCGAGGATTTTTCTCAGCAAGGTTCATTCCTGGTTTGGACCACCGATTTAAATCAAAAATGGACTACTGATTTTAAAAATGAAAACTAGCGCCGATCATTTAATGGTCCCAGTTCTATTTTCGTCCTGTAGGTCTGAAACAAGAATAGTTGAAAGGAAAAGGGTTGTTTTACTGAAAAGTAGCTATTCCGTGGGGATTTAAAAATAATTATTTTTAAGCAATAATTGAGATCAAAAATTTAAAAAAAATTAATTCAAGGAACATTCCCTTCCTTTCCTTCTCCATTTCCCACCAATTCAATTAAACAATTAGTTGTTGTCGGATCATTACAAGTTTCCACAATATTTCCAAATTCATTAATTTGTTCACACACCTTTCCTTCTTCCTCTTTTTTAATTTTAAAATTGTTTGTAGCCAAAGGAGATTCTAGCCGTTTAATTAAGGGGTGGGTGTGGACTACAGCAGATCCATTCCGAAGAGAAAGAAAGTGGCTACTTCGAAGTAAGGGGGTGCCTGAAGGAGAACCACAAGTTGAGAGAGAATTGTTGGGGGAATCACGGGAGAAGTAACTGAGGGTTTTCCGTTGATTACGACGACGAACTGAAAAATTAAAAAAATATATTTTATATTGAGTAAATTGAGGAAATAAAGGTTGGACTCGTATACCTTTGGAGTATGGGGAAATTTAATTTTACAGTGAGGTTGTTTTTTGAGCTAATAAGTCCATTGATAAAAGAGTTTAAGTTAGAATGGAAGCTTTAATAAAATCTTTGGATGTCAATCTGAGTGACGATTAGGGAGGGGTGAATCTGAGCTATCGCTAGAAGGTATCATTTGAATAGTTTCATCAACCCATGACCACCAAATTTTATTGAACATAGGCATCTTAAATAGAGGTGTGTCTTATAATGGGAGCATCTTATATAAAGGTATCTCTTATATTGAGGTGTATATTAGATAGAGAGTGTAGCTCAAGTAGCTTCTTTCACACAGTATCCCAACAAATCTAAAATTGTCTCTTAAATAGAGGTCTATCTTATAATGGGTGTATCTTATATAGAGGTATTTTAAAAATATTTTTTAAAATCAGACCAATATCGGAAAGATTCAATCCTTTGTTTATATGGCTAGAACTGATAATTTGTTTAGGCAAATATTTTGGTGGTATTCCAGTAATTAAACAAGCAGAAGCTGCCTTTAAAAAATAAAATTTTATAAATTTATTAAAATTAAATTGAAAAATAAAAAATGTTAGTAAGAAACAAAAACTTGGAAAACACTCTTAAACACACACAATATTTACTTACAATATTTGCCTTTCTACGAGGTAACATCTAAATATATGTTTTTTTGTTATTTTAGACACATTTTTGCCCTTTTGTTTAGGAGTTTAATCAACTTTTAAGCGTCCAAACAAACGTTAAACGATATGGATAGTCATTTGTAGGGTTGTCGGTTCCTTGAAATTCCTCGGATATCCGAAACCGAACCGAAGAACACGAAAAATCCTTGGTTCTTCGGTTCGGGCCAGAACCGACAACCATAGTAATTGGACGTGTTATAATCAAGGATTAAACGAGTAAAGACACCAATAACCTCAATAATGGATATTAGACTGTTAACTGTTTAGATTTTTGATCTTAAGAAAATGTCTGAAAGGACTGCTTGAACGAATAAAATTCGATTTGAAATAGGGGCAGACCGTAGGAAGTTCACTTGGGATTATAAAATTTGACTGAAAAAATTTTTTGATTGGACGCATAAAGCTTGTTTGGATGTATAAAATGTCCCGTTAAAATTTATTATTAGGAACTTAAATATTTTTATTAACTAATTAAATAATTAATCTACCTTAGCTACCATTATATGTTGTCTTTCTTTTAACAATTTACTTTTTAATCTGTTAGCAAAAAATTCTGTTTTGCCAAAATAAGCGAAGGAATTTGTAGCAGAATTTAATACAACACCAAAATCGGATAATCTAACCAATATACTTAAAATAATTCCAAAAGAGTCTATTCCATAAAATGTTTCATAAATATCAAAGAAAATTGGTAGAGATCTTGAAAAATAAATTTTTAAAAATTAGAATAGGGTCTCATTTTTCGGTCCCTTATTTCAGTGTCTTTGGGGAACTAAAGGCTCAAAATGGTCAATTAGTAAAATTGACCGTTTTGAGCCCTAATGATTTCTACTAAAAACAAATAAAATTTTCCGAAACCATCCTCGATAGGTATCATTTATAGACGGACCCAATAGTGGATACACCTCTATTTAAGAGACAATTTTCTTAATGTCCTCATTATAAGCTAGAATTTTAAGGGTCCTATAGTGAGTTTTACTGTATTCGAACTGACTGAGGGATACCGTCTATATAAGCTACGGCTCATTATAAGAAACAATTATTTAACCTTAATGGTGTATCCTATGAGATTTGTAAGGATACCCTCCATTTAGAGGACAACTCGTTATAAGAGATGACTATTCAGGGGTGTCTCTTATACGGAGGTTAGCAGTTTAAAACTAAAAATACCCACCTTAAAATTAAAAATTTAATAGCAATAAATATTGAAACAGTTCTCGAAACTTTTTCTTTCAATTCTTCCAACGCAACAACTGAACGGCTTCTATTTTGAGCTTCAAAAAGTCTTTAAAAAAATTTTTTGAATTTTCATTTGATTAACAAAACAAACATTCTTCTAGCTTTTAATGAAACAGCAACTTTATATTCTGTAATCGCTGTTAAAAAAGTAATCAAAAGTATTGGGCCAATTGTTTGTGTGACCATTGCTATTGTTGTACGCAACATATAATACTTTAAAAAAATTTTTTAAATTTATTTTTACTACTCATTTTAAATATCCCCTTCGGCTTCTAAAATCGGTCTCCTATAATGAGGTGTTTATTAAATAGAGGGTAAGCTAAAAAACGTATTTTAAAATGAGGTAAGAGAGTTAGGAACGATATCCGATGGTTATAAAGCCCCCCCCTTTCAGATAAGTACCCCCTCTCTATTAATAATCCATCTCTGTTAATGACCTTTCATGAGAATTTTATCGTGATAGCCGTTATAGAGCTTCCCTTGTGAATACGTTAATTGGCTTTTGAACTTTAAAAGACATATGTCACATTAAAGGATTAAAATAAAAATTATTTTATTCAAATATTCTTTAAATTTTCTTGTCTAAATGAGTGTCATGAAGCCCCTCTTTTTTTCAAAAGCTCCAAATATGCAGTTTAATGATGTCAATTAAAAAATTCTTTTTAATTTTTAAACGAAATGGACCACGGAATAAGGGGCGCAACAAAAAGGATTTGTTTTTTCGGCGTTACAAGGGAATTTTATGAAGACAGTCAGAAATAAAATTAATTTTTTTAATGCCTTATTTAAATTTGAAGCCACAAAAATGTTGCAAAAAGTCCCTGATTTTTAATTTTTTTAAAGAAAACCAACAGTTTTTGATTGCCTCAATTCTGTTGGAAATAATTGCATAGAAAAAGTGTCATGAGCAAAAGCAAAACAAGGAACCAATTCAAATTCAAAAAATACAGAGAAGTTGATTAAGAAAGCAAAGAGTAACACACAAACTTTAAAAATTATTTAAAAAAATTAATTAATTCCAAATAAATCATGCCTTTATAAACACCCCTTGGTGTTAAAAAATAGTCTCTTATAACGAGGTGCTTCTTATAACGATGTATATCTTAAATAGAGGGTGTTGCTTAGACAACTCTCCCACCCAGTGAACAGCCAAGTTTAAAAGAGTCTCTTAAATAGAGGTGTATTTAATATTGAGGGGTCGCTTATAGTGAGGGTCTCTTATAACGAGGTGTCTCTTATAATAAGGGGTATGTATCTTAAATAGGAAGTATCGCCTAAGCAACTCCCAAACCCCTTGGTTCAACCACATTCTAACTGAACGTCCCTTAAATAGAGGTGTATCCAATATTGGAGGGTATCTTATATAGAGGTTCTACTATATTTTTAAGAAAATTACTTGGAAAAATAAACGGATGCAAAATTTTTCGAATATTCGGTTTTTTGTATGTTGTCGATGTAGACAAAAATCTTTTAGAGAAACTCCTTGCTAACCCCCCACTTTTAAATATTCCACTATTTTCTGTGCAAGCTTCTTCCATTGAAGAAAAAGATTTTTGAAGTTGATCGTTTCTTTTAGGTTCGCGTATTCTGGCATATTTTAAAGGCCACCAAACAACCAAAAAACGTCGGAAAGTTATGAAGACAACAAGTAAAGTCTGGAAAAGTATAAAGTAATCCATTAGGCTCTCACTTATGAGTACACCCTAGGGACTTAAAAAGTGTCTCTTATAATGAGGTGTTTATTAAAAACTTATATAAATGATGGGGCATTTGACGATTTTTAAGAGGGAGATATTTAGACGCGGGCATTCATCGAATCCACTACATATAACCCCTATCAATTGCCCTCCCCTCCCTTGATTAATTACTCCTTTAGTTAGGGGAATTACGGCATTGATGATTTTAGTGTGTTAATTTTCAGCCTAAGGGTGTACATTATACAGAGGATTTGATAAGTAAAAACTAACAGAAGAAGTAGTCGCTGCACTAACAATACCATGAGTTATGAGCTTAAAATAAATAAATTTATTTGGGTATAAAGATGATACAAAGACTTACAACACTGTTTTGTTCGTCCCACATAACATTAGTGCCCAATAAAAGAATTGAACAAGCTTCTAATGAATGATAGACTACAACCATTGAAATAAGGAAAGAATCACAAATACAAAGAGTGTATAGAGCTGTAAATTAAATTAAAAATCAGAGTCGAATGAGGGACACCATTTTTTAAGAGGGAAATCCTAGCCCCTGGCATGCGTCAAACCAACGAGCTTTTTGGCACCTATCGCTAACCGATTACTTCACACAGCTGCTCTACTGATAGAAGTAACGGGGCACAGCTTATGTTTTAATAAAGCTTACCCCTCCCCCTTCTTGTATAAATTCAGCTTGATCTACATTTCTTTCTTAATTTGTGGGAAAAATAAAATGGCCCATATTTGGCCTTTATTTTTACCATAATTTTCAAAAATTCTTTCTCAACTTTTTTCTCAACTATAAACTATTGACACATTCTAAAGTGATTTTATATGCAGAAAAATGAGGCTGATTTATTGAAACCAATTTACAGAATGAGGAGTAACCCCAAACAAATTTAGATAAAAAATTAAATTACCAGCAGTCAAGTCTCTATTAAGCCCAGCTCTAGCCAAAAATCTAACAGCAAAATGACATCCTACAAAAGCTAGGAGTGCAGCGATTATAGTAATTGGGCCGTCTAGCCATAGAGAAATTAATTTGATTAAATTGTCGTTTAAATCTTTAAAAAATTCATTATTTCATTATATTCAAAAATTCATAGCTCCTCCCAGAAAAAAGATTTTTCCATTGGGTTTTTTGTTCCTAGTTCATACAATAAGGAGGAAAAAAATCTTAATAGAGTGACCCTTTGATTTAACGGATAACTCGATATAAGGAACTTTTTCTTAGGTCCCTTGGAGTTGGATAGAAGCAGAGGTGGGTCGGAATTCCGATTTCCGGCACTTTTATCCTTCCGATTTCCGAGTTCCGATATTTGAGCCAGTTCCGATTTCCGGCTCTTCCGATTTCCGACACCTCTGATTGTTCCGACCCACCTCTGGACAGAAGAGAATTTTAATCGAGAGATTCGATCAGGGATGTCACAGGTTACCCATAACCCTGACATTTTTCGCCCCGAAACCAAAATCCGATTCGTTAAATCATCTAAATTCCGCCCCGATTTCTTCCTGAATTCGATTGTATTTTTTGAAATTTTTTGAAAATAATTAAAATATCTAACCATATCTATAAGTACAGTTTGGAGTATTTAATTCTTCTATTAACTTCATTGTTGTTAAATTAATTTAAATAATTTTAAATAATTATTAATTTAATTTAAATTTAATTTCCATTAATTTTCTTTAAAAACAAAAAAAACAAATTTAATAAAAAAAAAAAGATAGTGGTATGAAATAGAAAAGTAAGATGGTGAAGTAAGATATAAGACACAAAAGTGGCCCTTATTTCAGGGATTTCAAAAATTAATTTCAGCAGTATGCTTGTAGAGGGTCTTAAAAGTTTGACCTACAACTTTTTAAGGCGCATCTGGGAGAAATAGAGCTAATCTCTGTGATGAAGTTGTGGCACCGAAATGCCCACGGTCTTTTTAGTAACTCGAAAATCTTCAATAGAAACATAGTTGAGGCTTGGAGCCTTGGAAGAAGAGTTGGCTTGGCTTGGTAAAAAAGCCTTGGAAAAAAAGAAAGAAAAAGCCTCTAAAAAGCCTTGGCTCTCAAATCATCCAAAAAAATTCTTTTGACCTCGAAAAAAAATTTTTTCAGGTCAAAACGTCAATAGAAAATGACGATATGCTTTAGTAATCCCTTTAAATTTTTTCCTTAAAATAAAACTTTTTTAAGTTTAATTAAAATAATTTATATTGTGTAGACCACCCATTTTTTCTTCCAAGTTTTAAAGTCAAAAGAAGAAAAATAAAAAAAGAAAAAAAATATTTTTAGTATTCTCCTTCCAAATAAATTAAATTTTAGAAAAAAAAAATAAATTCAACAAAAAAATCTTTTTTGAAAAAAAATATAAAAAAATGTGTAGAGAAGACTTAATAAATAATTCAAAATTTATAGTGAAAACACATACAGACATTACATTTTTTAATATAAATTAAAAGTAAAATATAGCGAGAAATATATTTTATTTTAATTAAAATTAAATATTTTTTGAATAGAAAAATTTGAAAAAAAATTTTTAAATTAAAATTGCGTGTAAAAAGGTAAAATTAAAAAATAATAAATTTAAAAGGTCAAAAAAATTTTTAAAGTTTACCCCTAAGGTTGATTTTAATTTTCCGGTAAGACCATTAGAAATTGTTAAACATACCTATCAGAGGTGGGTTGGAGCAGTCAGAGGTGTCGGAAATCGGAACTGGCTCAAAAGTCGGAACTCAGAAATCGGAAATCAAATTTTTTTGGAAATCGGAAGGAAAAAAACGTCGGAAATCGGAATTCCGACCCATCTCTGATACTGATTAAGCCTTTAAATGATGTATTCAGCATGTACATAGTTAACTTTGGATATTGTAGGAGCTATTTTCACTCTTACAAAGATATTAAAAATTTATAATTTTTAATTTAAATTAACAGGAGAAAACTTTTATTTTTTAAAGCACAAACAAAATTTTTATATAAAAATAAGGCAAGAAGAAAGTCCAATAAAAAATATAATCTACTTTAAGACTGAAGTGAAGAGAATAAAAAGCCTAAGTGAAGAAGGTGAATAATATAATTAATGTGTAATTTTTGAGAAAGAAGGAAAAATAATAGGAAGTAGATAAAATCTTAAATTATATGGGAAAGTAAATTGAGGTGGATAAATATGTTTTTACGTGGCTCTGTCCACGACAGATATAGTTTAGTATACCGGAGTTTTAGTTCCGATATAAGACACGTACCATTCGTTTCGTCTCGGCGAGCTGAGTCGAACGGTACCACTCTCTAGGCGCGGAGATGCCTCTGGGCCGAGATATAGGTCCCCGAAAATCGAAAAACCATAGGGGGGACCAAGCACTTTTTTGGAGTGAAAAATTCGAATATGCAAATTATACTCATTCGAAAACGCTCCTCGAACTAAGTCGAATGACACTAAAATCAGCTCGATATCTTGATTTTGAGCCAAGATAAAAAGGTTAAAAATGGTCAACGTAAACCTATGGGGCGTAGGCGAGGCGCTTGTGCAAAACCCCGCGCTTCGCGCGGGGTTTTGCGGCACGCGCCTCGCGGGGAGTCTACGGGCGCTGGGTCTGGGCTCGTAACATAAACCTATTCCTAAATCTATTGCTTTGGACGTATTTGGGGCCTCCGTAGCAGCAAAACCTCCACAGATGCCATAGGTAAGGAGCTAAAACAAATGAACATAACTTTGTCCAATCTTGTTCAATCACGGTGATTTTCATGTCATTCGACTCAGCTCGTCGAGCTCTTTCGAATGAGGTATTACTTGTATAAAAAATTTTTTATTCCAAAAATCGTCCCTTGGAATCTGCGATATTTAGGGGCCTATATCTCGGTCCAATCAAGTCGGATTTTATTGATTTTGGCGTCATTCGACTCAGCTCGAGGAGCTCTTTCGAATGAGTTATAATTTGCATATTCGAATTTTTCACTCCAAAAAAGTGCTTGGTCCCCCCTATGGTTTTTCGATTTTCGGGGACCTATATCTCGGCCCAGAGGCATCTCCGCGCCTGGAGAGTGGTACCGTTCGACTCAGCTCGCCGAGACGAATCGAATGGTACGTGTCTTATATCGGAACTAAAACTCCGGTATACTAAACTACAGCCTTAACTTTTAATGAGTAAACAATTATAATTTAATGTGTTATGCCCTAGGGTGTGACCTTACCCAAGTCTAACAGAACAATACAAAAATAAAATAAAATGTCTTTCAAAAGAGTAAATACGAGAATGACAATGGTGACAATGGTAGGAATAGTGAAGGACGGGAGCTGCTGCCGTAGCCGTATTTTAAAAAACGGAACGAGGTGAGAAAACGAGTTTCAGGTTGGGTTGCGCAGTTTCCTTTAGATCGGGCTTCGGGTCGAAAAGAGGCCCAAAATTTAATTTTAGGCAACCCGTGGCCCACATAGTGTTTAATAAATAGACCAAATTTTTAATTATACTATTATCTGTTTTGGCTGCCCCGGGACGGTGAGACTTTGCTCCCCGATTTATTCACAAATACACTAGTCTATGTTCACTTCCCTATCTCTACCTGTTTTTTTTCGGTACTCTGCGTTTATATACCACCATGTCCGCAAACGTATGTCCGCACTGATTTTCTTTTCCTTCTTTCTCCTCTCATAAAGATTAGAAATGGTAAGTAAAAACAACAGACAAATATTCGTTTATATAAAAATATAAAAGCAAAAATAAGACAATTTTAGAAATTATTTCGGAGGCCATATTTCTGCTTTTTTTTTACAAATCCATTCGAAAAAATTTTCTTCCTTAGCTTCTTGCCTACACATAAATTCCGCTAAGTAGCTCTCCAAATGATGACGCGCCGTTCCTCTATGTTTTTTGTTCCTCCATTTAGCAGAACCCCAAAGACGCTCAATTTTTTGTGTATTCGCTCCGGTTTTCGGGTCGACAAAATGGTACCGGTGATTTACAGTGAAATGTGAAAATCCAGCTTCTTCAAGTTCTTCATGCTTGTAACCTTTCCAGCTGTCAGAAAAAATAATAGTCCCAGGGCTTATATGTTTTTCAATCTCTGCCATTAGCGTTTTTGCAGAGCGATCTGGTACCTAGATATAACAGATAAATATTTAAACCAGACCAATTAACCTGAACTAAGAAACATTCATTAGACTCACGGCACAGGCCGCCAAAGATCCATTGCTGCGGTAAGACCCTGCCCGAATTGCTTTTACGCTTTGTAAAAAGACTTTCGTCGATTTCGACAATCATGTCGTCACCTCCTAAGAAATTAATTATAATTAAAACACTACAACAAATACCGATAAATTTATGTGGTTTGGAAATTAGGTGATCTACACAAATGCATCTTAGGTAATTATTCCAATCGACCGTAGTGTGCGGGTCTATTTCCAATTCGCGTCCACAAAAACTCCCGGAAGTATACTCAAAAGCCCAACAGTAGATGAATTCAAGAATGGTGACATATGAGATACGACTCCCTTCTAACCATGTTCCG